GCTGATGCATCGACGGCCTAAGCTGCTCAAAAGTGTTGGTCCTTCGCCCAGCCTCGTCTCCTACGTCTAGTCCACCCCCCGCATCAGGCACGCCTTCCGGTCCCAACCTTGATCTCGCTGGACGACGCTCGGATTGCGCTCGGCGGAGTTCAAGCTCGATAACTCCCGGGGCAACCCCTAGTATCGCCTCTCCTGGACCGGGCATCGACATATAGGCTTAATGGGGGTACATTCCCAGGACCGGCTGGTACGGGTAGGTCGGGGGGTAGAATCTTTGTGGACTTCTCCAATACAGAAATGTCGGTTCGAACATTCCGGTGGGATAGATCGGATACTGGAGTGGTACTTGACCAGTCGGCGCTGGGAAGGTCAGTTCTTGCTGAACGACGTTAACCTACTAGGGGGTCGCCGCTCTCCCCGACAGAGTGTTGAGACCGACACGCGAATTAAGGTGCATGCGTAAGGCAAAGGTGCTCTCTCCAGCCTCCTGGTCGTTGCGAACGTCCATAAAGGGATACATCTTACTCAGGGTCGGTAGCAGCACACGGAACGGCTTGTAGGGTCCATGAAGGGATACATCTTAATTTCATTCCAAAATGATTGACTCACATATATAAATTAATTACTTTTTTTTTTCATTATAAACAAAATTAATATTATAATAATTAATTTATAATATTTATCAAATTGTGTTTTTTAATATAAATTAAATTCTCACATGCATAACTTTGATGAGATTAAAATAATATTTTGAAATTATTTTCCTTAAAATTTTGTTACCAAACTCCATAGTCCATACCCTTGTTTAAAACCCCTCTTATTCGAAATTTATTTCTTTAATTAAAACATTTAAAAATGATTCCATTTATGTCATTTTATCTCGCAACATATGTCTCCTTGTCTAGTCTCTTCTGTCGATAGAGCTATGATACTAGAGTACTATACCTCTTTGTCATTCCTATAGCTTCTAATTTTATACAATTTTGTAGATATTACTCTTTGTATTTCAACCAATCTTATTATAATAAAATTGAAGAAATAATAAAATTACATAAACTAATACATAGTTAATTAGTTATACATACAATAACCTTTAATATATATCTAACGTTACGCTTTCTTTTTCTTAACTAGCTTCCAAGAAGGGAGTAACACTTTTTTTTTTCGACTGTTTAACTGTGTTCAAACGATTACAAATATTTTAATTGGGGTCATACTTGTGTGAGATTGTCTTACGAATCCTTATCTATGAGACAAGTCGAAATAATATGAAAATGTGATATTTATACTGAAAAATGTACATACTAATCAGAACTAAAATGTTTGTTAGGGAAAGTGTAATAATTTTGAGAAAAAATGTAATATTTTTACATTTTGGTGTAAAAGTATTATATTTTTTTTATCAAAAATATTATTATTATTTTATTTTTAAAATTTTTACAAGATAATATCTGTTATTTACTTTCTTAAAATTTATAACCCAAAAAATAAATTGATCTCACCATCATCGAAATTTAATTTTATAACTACCCATTTAAAATGATAACAAGATACCATCACACTACATAGTAACTGACAATTTACTCAATCTTTTAAACATACTGACAAAAATATCTTCAAATAATTTGACAAGTGATTCACTTTTGGATAAACAGTTTTGACTGTTGGGTCTATCCAAATGAGTAGGATATACTCAATGTCTCAAACCTTATCCAAAGGATTCCAATTTTTCTTTTTTCTTTTCCATAAATAAAGTAAATCAAAATACATCTCTAATTAAATATTGTTAAATAGTCCGTAGTGTTTTGCTTTTATAAAAATTACTAGTTGTTTACATGCATTGCGCGATTGAAATAATGACTAATGTTTTCTTTTATTAGATAAATATTTTAAAATATATTAAGGCAAAATTATATTAAAATTGTTCATGCATAGATAATTTAATGTTGAATTTGCGTATTTAAATAGGTAATTCATTCTTGTTTACAAATGCAAGATAATTTAGTCAAGTAATTGTCAATAAAATAATTGTATAGGTATGGTTGAAACTAAATACGGGACATAAGGGAGAGCAAATAAAAATTAGAGCATAAAATATTAAATATATACTAATATTGAAGAGATAACTACTGATTGTTAAACAAGGACATTGCGAGATAGTTTCCCACTTCAATTTGTTGTGTGATTTGAATACTTTTTTTGTCAATAAATCCCCCCAAGTAGTTAATATGATTGGCTTAATTAAATTTTTTTATTTTTTATTTTTTTAAAACTATTATTATTATTATTATTATTATTATTATTATTATTATTATTATTATTATTATTATTATTATTAAATATATGCATATCCTTAGGTTATTTTACATGGTAATCTAAACACCTAATTTTTTTAAATATCTTTTTACCAACTGTTGATATAATTTGTTGGTCAAATCCGCTAACTGCTGATTGTCAAACAAGGACATTGCGGGTAGTTCTCACTTCAATTTGTTGTGTGATTTGAATACTCTCTTTGTCAACAAATCACTCAAGTAGTTAATATGATTGACTTTATTTATTATATATATTTTTAAATTTTTCATTGTATTAATAAAATACTTGGTAAATAAATATATAGCATTATTTTGTATTATAACTTTGATATTTAATTAAAAAATAGTGCACAAAAAAGATAATAGACAATGCAGTGAATATAATCAATTGATGAATTTTAATGTAAAGATTTCTACATTGGAGAAAAATAAAGGCAATATAACTAATAAAATTTTTTCTCTTAATTAATTTATTAATAATGAATAACTTTTTTTTAATATATAAAGACATTGTATGGACAATTTAGCGAATATAATCAATTGATGAATTTGAATATAAAGAATTTTTATATTAGAGAAAAATAAAGACAATATAACTAATGAAATTATTTCTCTTATTTTTTTTTGAAGGCCAAAATAGGCATAATTAAATACAAAGGATGATCCTGATCAAAAGCAGCTGAAACTAAAACATGAGCATGTAAATTAACTGATCTAGAAATAACATTTAATGAGCAGTAATCAAAAAGTACTATTGTCGCCCGGCACTGGTCCACCACCATCCCAACCTAAGATAAGATAGTCGGCTCCGTATTTCTCTTATTTTTTTTGAAAGCTACTGGCTCTATTACATTGTAATATCTGTTCATATACTTTCTCAACCTACTGAAACACAAAGAACCAATAACGCCTCAACTGAGGCTTGAACTCATAATCTTCCAAATGGAAGTCCAACCCGGGTACCATTAGACCACATAGTCCTAGTCGTATTTCTCTTATTTAATTTGTTGATAATGAATAATTTTTTTTTGAATACAATAAAGACATTGTAGACACATAATTCTAAATTAAAGAAATGCATATGTATTATTTTTTGTTGTAGCTACTAAATTATTATTTAATTTAATAAGAGTAAAATAGAGTACTAATTATGCCAATTGGGATGAGGTTCGAACCTAAGACCTTTTTTTATTGAAATCAATGAGTAAGTTAACGGTGAGTTAACAGAAATTAGCAGAAAAAGATAATTTTTAACGAAAAAGTTAACAAATATTCATATTCATTAAAGATAAATTAAGAAATCTTAAAGCAAAAAATTAAAATCTGATTAATCTGAGCCATTCATTTGATTAAAAAAATTTGACCTTCATTTTTTTACCCATTATATAGGCGTAACTCTCTTGGGCTCTTATTAGTATAGTAGAGTAGACATTTACGTTAATATACAATAATACTAAAAATACAAACAAAATCAAGAATATAAACTGTATTTACACATAGAATATAAAAATTACTCATTAATATTCACTATATCATATATGACTATTATATTATTATTTATTTAATTATTGTGTTTACTTCAATAATTTGTAATGAAATCCACTAATTCATAGTATAACAAATAAAAATAAGCATTTGTACTGCTTTCTCTCTAAACAAGTGTTTTCTCTCTCTTTTTTATCAGTAAAGGCCCTACAATTTCATCCTCCGGTTGCCGGTTGACGCTCTAATGAAGGTTGAGCCGGCGGTGCCATTAGTAGACTCCATCATCTGGCTGTTTAGGAATAAGCGTTAGATCTCAAATTATCTCCGATCGTTTTTTTTTTCAGAGAATGCGTTAGAGACTCTCCAGATCTGACAGGTTTTCTATCATCTTTTCTATTTATTTTGTTTTCTTTTGGTTTTATGTTATCCCTTTGTTCCTTTGACTAGTTTATTTTCTCTCGTTTCTCTGGCGAGTGTTTCCCTCTCGTTTCTTTGGCGAGTTCTCCTCATAAGCGTGGAATGATAAAATGGTCATATCAATGTCAGACTTGGCTATATTTGACCAGATCTGTGAAGAAGCACCGAGTTCATCCAACAACTTCGGCTTCAAATTTGTTTCTATGTCTGACTGTAAAGAATGCACTGTCATTCTAACGTTCTGTATTGTAAACATTTCTGTTTATGATTAATGAATTAGCCTTTTATTTTCAAAAAAAAAAAAAAAAAAAAACATTTGTTAAAACTACCACATCAAAGAGACACAAAGTGTGAACATTGATTTTGGTAAAAGACAATAGCATTATTCTCAATATTTTGGATATTGCTGTGTAATTTGTAAATAAAAAAAATAAAAAAATAAAAAAGGTTTCTACCTGGTAAATAGTAGGGAGTAGATGAAAAATGTTATTTTACTCTGATATAATAGTTCATAATAATTTATAACATAAAATATAAATTTCACTAAAAAATTTTTATGGATGAACTTGACTAAGTGAATATTAAATCACTTCTTTCGGTCATTTTAGTTGTTTGATTCTAGAAGTTGCAACTCCAACACTGTACATGGACATTCAAATCCAAACATGAAAATTGTATCCATTTAAAGACCAAAATGGCAACATTTTGCAGATAAGAGTAATATTTGAAACTTTTTTAAAAAAAGAAAGATCAAAATTACTTCACAACTAGTAGTGTATAATTGAGTGACAAATTTTTCATAAATTAAAAAAACAATATTATTAGCATGAGATCAGAAGTTCAAACTCATGTTAATGTTGTTGTATTTAATTAGTGCCACTCTTAAAAAGGAAAAAAAAAAAAAAAGAAAAAAAAAAGCAGTTATTAGCAGCAGGTTTGTATGGTGATGGTTGAAATTTGTGTAGAAGAGAGCCATTTGAAGCGCATGTAAGTGGCAGTCCTCCATGGTGGAATGTGCAGACCATTTTGTGTGAGAGAGCACTTAGCTTCTGAGCAAAGAATTGAGAGTGTCCGACGTAGCTTGTCTTCTTCTCCAACAAAAATCTGGGGAAGTATTTGTAGCAGCCTCTTGTATGAAGGTGTAGGGCGAGCTACTTCAAATTGGGACTTGAAATCTATGTCTATTATTGTTGGGAGCATTTAAAGGGAAAGGCTTATTTTAGCCTAACCAAGTTGTCCCACATTGATAGTTTAACCTCTCTCTTCCTTCCTTATATACTTCAAGTCCTTTGATATGGTTTGAAGTGTTATGAGAAGGGAAAGAAGGTAGACCACACGTGGGGTGGACTGGGGTCAATGTTTTGCTCTCAAATTTTTGTGGATCCATTAGTGACCTTGTCCGCACAACATAGTGAATGTGCGTACAGGGATGGTCTTCACTGATTTGTAGTCCTACTTTTATGGGTAATGGATGGTTGGCTATTGCACATGGAGTACTATATAAAGGTAATATGTGCGTACAGGGATGGTCTTCACTGATTTGTAGTCCTACTTTTATGGGTAATGGATGGTTGGCTATTGCACATGGAGTACTATATAAAGGTAATGGTTTTATGTTGATTTTTGCACTGTGAGAGGTTGTTCGAATATACTACTTGCGTTCCGTGTGTCTGCTTCATATATATATCTCTGGTTTGCGTACATATATATATCACTTCTAATATATATATATATATATTACTTTCCGTACATATATATATCACTTCTAATATATATATTATATATTGCTTTGCGTACAGATATATATCACTTCTAATATATATATATATATATTGCTTTGCGTACATATATATATATATACCTCTGCTATTATACCAGTTCGCATATATATATATATATATATCTGCTTCCAGTTCGAACAACACAGTAAAACACCACCATGAAAAGGGATTAGGCTGGTATTGACATTGCCTGAATACGACCAAAGCAATATATATATATATATATTAGAAGTGATATATATCTGTACGCAAAGCAATATATAATATATATATTAGAAGTGATATATATATGTACGGAAAGTAATATATATATATATATATATATATATTAGAAGTGATATATATATGTACGCAAACCAGAGATATATATATGAAGCAGACACACGGAACGCAAGTAGTATATTCGAACAACCTCTCACAGTGCAAAAATCAACATAAAACCATTACCTTTATATATAGCTGCCTGAGAGTCCGTTCTGTTTTACCGGTCGAAAGCATACGACTCAATCCCTGGTCGTGAATGTTTTTAAGGCAGTGTCTTAGACACGATACAGAACATCTGTTTTTATCTTTTCGTTCCCTAACCTCACATCCACAGAGAAGGAAAAACACAACAATTATCACCCTTATTGACCCCCTCCCCCTCTGCTGCTTTGCCTCCTCAACCACAACTACTTCAATATACTCATAAGCGCCTGCATGCATGCATGTTTATCAACAACTAACTTTTCTTAATTACAACTACATACATAATCTAATTAACACCAATGGTAGTTAGAGCCTCTCCAATTATTTAGTTTTTACACAACATTTTAAGAAGTCAAGTAAGAGAGAAAGAAAAATAGAAGAAAAAAAAAGGAAAAAAATTCTGACAATTAAAAAAAGAAACAAAGATTATATGTCAGAGTGACGCGCCCAATGGGAGCATGCATGGGGACACACGCCCACTGAAATGCGCAGTATGCTCCAAACGTTCAATTCCCCCACTTTTTTTTTCTTACCCTACAAAAACATAGTTTTTGCAAGAGAAAAATTTATTAGCAAAAAATTATGCTCCCCATTAGACAAAAACCAGCTGCTCATTTTTGTCCTATTTCTAAAAATCAATAAAAAATTCCTATTGGTTGCTCTTAAATCATTCCCATTAGTAAATTTTCATAATTATTTTGTGGGGTTAAATGTGAGGTGAAAGAGAGAGAGAAGATAGAAGGTTTAAAGTGCTTCAGCACTATGAGCTGTTTTTTTGTCTCCATAGTGAGCCCCACCAAAGAATAAAAAATTACTATTAATGTGCCTCACGCGCACCAAAAGCACCTAACCGAAACGCGTGCACTCCATATATAGGCCCGTTGAACCTATTAACCATAGCAACTTTCTTTATAAAAAAAAAAAAAACTTTTTTTTTATTAATTTTTTTCCTTTTTTCTTCCACTCCCTTCTTCTCTCTAGCTATTTAACTCCTAAAATTAAAATTTGTGAAAAAACTATACTAATGTGATTGTTCTTACCACCAGGGCAACTCAAAGTTGTAGGCCATGAAGAGTGGCACAAGGAAGCACTAAAACCATCCATTCTCAAACGTTTGATTAGCCATTTCTTCAAGCCGCCGCATGATTTCTCATCACACTCCATTTTGTCTCTCATGTGCTTCAAAACACTCTCCACAACTCTACTCTCAACGCCATTCCTGCTCTCCACTATCTCCTACAGGAGATTATCAACACTCAGAATAGTAAATTAAATAATCTCATGCCCCAAAACAAAAGGAAAATTAAATAAATTAACCACGTACAAACGGACAAATATAATTGAGCTAATTAAGATACCTGTAAAATATAACATTTAGTATGATCATCGTGGTCAGGAGTAACTGTCGTGGTTGTATTTGTATCCCTTGTCGGGGAGGATCCTAATTCTATGAAGTCGTTAACCATTTGTAGCAAAATCTCCTCTTCTAACCTACCCATGATGGACTATTATACTGTGCTCTCTCTCCCTCAATATGTTTCTCTCAACTTCTCTCTCACGCTCTCTCTCTATATATAAAGTTTATAAAGTTTATTTAATTACCTAATATATATTTTGGGGCAGATATATATAGTAATTAAGAAATGGGTGGATAATGGAATTGCATGTTAATGGTGAAGGATGAGGTCAGAGGATAATGATGATGAATTTGAAACGCGGCCGTCTGCAGACTTCTATTACGGTGGCGGTCGCACACAGTATTCCTTAATGGAGTTATGGACATATATTTATGCACTCTCATTTTATACTCTTAATTTTCATTCTCTCACAAATTTTTAATGTAATTTTTTTTTTTTTTTTTGTGAATTCAAATAATGAAAATAATTTAGGGATAAAGTACAAATAAGTCACTAAACTATTTGGGAAACAGCAATTAAGCCATCAAACTCAAATAACTTCTAAATAAGTTATTAAATCTGACAAAAAAGAACAATTAACATTTTTAATAGATTTTTTTTTTTTTTTTGCTTTCTGAATTGCCAAACGTTTATTTTATTTACATTTTTTTTTAAAATTATAATCTACCTACATAGTAATATATTTTAAAGTAATTATAGTCAAAATAGTTTTGTCTAGTTTAGATCTAATTTATTTATTTATTATTACTTTTAAAACAGACAATCTAGCTAAAAATAATAATAAATAAATAAATCAAATCTCGACGAGACTATTTTTATACGTAATTAATTAACAAATATAACTAGATTCTCTCTATTTCCCTACTAGGGTTTGCCTAGGGTTACGTCCGATAACAGCAGTTTTTTTCCGGTGAATTAGTGTTCAATTCCAGTGTGTTTTGCGTCGACGAGAAGGGGTCATGGAACGGCAGATGCATGCGAACGTTGATGAGCGTGGTTCTGTTCGACGGGAAGGGACCATGAAACGCCGGACGCATGCGATCGTTGATGAGCGTGGTTCTGTTCGACGGGAAGGGACCATGGAACGCCAGACGCATGCGATCGTTGATGAGCGTGGTTCTGTTCGACGGAAGGGACCATGGAACGCCAGACGCATGCGGAGGTTGAGGAGGAGTTGGTGGAAGGGTATGTAGGCATCTCTTTGCTCGACAAGGAGGATATGTTAGTCCCGGCAGGGGAGGTTACTGCGCCGGCGACGGGGGTGGAGGGCCATACGTGGGTTCTTGTTGGTAGGTTTCTGACGCGTAAGATGGTGAAGCTTGAGTTCATGCGGGAGGTGTTGGCTTCCGTGTGGCAGCCCGTGTGTGGTGTGCAGGTCTCAGAATTGCAACCGAATCTTTTCATGTTTGTCTTCTATCATCAGACGGATTTGCAACGTGTGATAGATGAGGGGCCGTGGTCTTTTGATAACCATACTTTGGTGTGTCGGCCGGTGGAGGATGGGATGCTGCCGAGCGATGTGGTGCTCGATTCGGTTGATATGTGGGTCCAGGTCTATGGTCTCCCAATGGGCTATAGATCTGTGGTCATACAGGAGCAGGTTGGTAATTTTTTGGGCGGGTTTCTGAAGGGTGACGAGAGATTTGATGATCATCCGTGGAAGGCGTTTTACCGGATCCGTGTTAGTATTCTGGTGGCTAAACCTTTGCGTCGGAGAATGAAATTTGCAAAACGGGATAAGTATTGGTGTTGGGTGACCTTCAAGTATGAAAGATTGCACACTTTTTGCTTCTTTTGTGGCTTACTTGATCATTCATACAAGTTCTGTTTACAGGCACGAAATTCGACTCTCTCTTTGGATCAGTATCCGTATGGGGTATAGATGAAGGTGGGGTTAGCACGTGGCCCTAGGCCGGTGGGCAGTTCGTGGCTTATACCTATTGGGGGGAAGAGGGAGGAGGTGGCCGAGAGGGGGGGGGTAGGCCGTGTGTGCCGGATGGGGGGGTTACGGTGGGGGTTTTGGTGGAAGGGCAGCCGATGGTTGGGGAGGGGTGGTGTGTGGTCCAAAAAGGCGTAGGGAGGAGGGGGCTAGTGAGGGGCTCATGGGGAGGGATGGTGAGGGAGTAGTGGATAAGGTTGGTGAGGATGTGGCAATGACAGATATTTCAAAAAACTTGTTCATGGCGGGTTCTGGAGCTCAGACCCGCCCATCCTTATGAGTACATTGAGTTGGAACTGTCGTGGCTTGGGTGATCCACGGACAGTTCGGGAGGTGGTGGACATGGCGTCCAAGAAGAAACCCGACTTTATTTTTTTAATGGAAACAAAAGTTGCTAGAGATCATGCTGAGCGGTTACGGGTGAAGTTGGGGTACCAGGGGTTGTTTTATGTGGATAATGTGAGACGTAGTGGAGGTTTGGCTCTATTGTGGAAAACGAATGATACGGTGAGTTTGCTGGGTTACTCGAGGAACCATGTTGATGTAGTGGTACGGATTGATGGTTTTGAGCCCTGGAGGATGACTGGTTTTTATGGTTTCTCGGATCGTGGTAGTAGACAGGAGTCATGGAATCTTTTTAGACACTTAAGATCTCGCTCTACGCTGCCTTGGGTGGTTTTGGGGGATTTCAATGACTTGCTTTTCCAGTATGAGAAGAGGGGACGGTGCAGGCACCCTGAGTCGTTGTTGCGGGGTTTTGGGGAAACATTGGAGGACTGTGGATTGGCGCAGATCCCAATGATTGGGTATCAATTTACTTGGGAAAAAGGGGAAGGCACGGAGAATTGGGTGGAAGAGAAGTTGGATAGAGTTGTGGCGACTGAAGGGTGGCGTGAACTGGTGGAGGGTGCTCGGGTCTATAATATATTGACGAGGAGATCGGACCATTCGGCTCTCTTCCTGGATATACGACCAGGTGGGGGGTACCGTGTTGGGCCGCGTCATTTTCATTTCGAGATGGCCTGGTTGTTAGATGAGGGTTGTAGGGAGGTGGTGGAGGAGGCATGGGGTAGTGGGGTGGAGGATTTATAGGCCCGGTTGGAGAGATGTGGTGTAAAGCTTCAGAAGTGGGGTGGTGACCGGTTCCACAAGTTTGGGGAACGGATTGCTAATCTCAAGAAGCAACAGTTGAGCTGCCGTGGTCGTACCAATCCCCAGGCATTGGCAGAGTTTCGCCGTCTGGAAACTGAATTAGTAAGGTTGGAGAAGCAGGAGGATGTATTTTGGAGGCAAAGAGCAAAGCAGCATTGGCTTCATGGGGCGGATGCGAATACTCGTTTCTATCACAGGTATGCTTCTGCTCGAAAACGTAAGAATACTATTCTACGCCTTAAAGATGAGTTTTGGGGATGGGTAGATGGTGATGCTATGAAAGTAGTTGTAATGAATTATTTCAATGATATCTTTACTGCTAGTCCGGTTGTGAATGATGGGTCGGACTTTTTTGCATCTATCCCTGTTCGTGTAACCCAGTCCCATAATGATTGGTTGAATCGACCGTATGACCCGGGAGAGGTGAAAGATGCTTTATTTGCTATGTTTCCAGACAAGGCTCCGGGACCGGATGGAATGAATCCGGGATTTTATCAGAAGTTTTGGGATGTTGTTGGTACAGATGTGACCAGTTGTGTGCTTGAGTGTTTAAATACGGGGATTTTGCCCGCTGGTCTAAATGAGTCAAATATTGTGCTTATTCCGAAAACGCAGTCCCCTGAGGCGGTAACTGATTTACGCCCGATTGCCCTGAGTAATGTTGTCTATAAGATTATTGCAAAGGTTATTGCTAATCGTATGAAGCCTTTGTTGGGAGATGTTATTTCTGTTTCGCAAAGTGCGTTTATTCCTGGCAGGTTGATTACTGATAATATTTTGGTTGCTGCTGAGGTAGGACATTTTCTGAATAGGAAGCAGTTGGGAAAGGTGGGATGGGGGGCTTTGAAGCTGGATATGGCAAAGGCCTATGATAAGATGGAGTGGTCGTTTCTGAGGAAAATGATGTTGGCTTTAGGTTTCCAGGCAGGGTGGGTGAATTTAATTATGGAATGTGTCACCACAGTTTCATATAATGTTATGATTAATGGGGTGTCTGGAGGCCAAATAATCCCATCTCGTGGGCTCCGTCAGGGGGATCCTTTATCCCCATATCTGTTTATTATCTGTGCAGAGGGGTTATCTTTGTTGTTGCAGCAGGCTCAAGATAAGGGAGATGTGCATGGAATAAGGGTGGCGAGAGGGGCACCTGCTCTTTCACACCTCTTTTTTGCGGATGACAGTCTTTTGTTTCTAAAGGCAAATATGAGTGAGGCACGGGCGGTAAAACGGTGTCTTACACTTTATGAGGAGCTGTATGGCCAGACCATTAATTATCATAAGTCAAATGTTTGTTTTAGTAAGAACACTCAGCAAGCAGTAAGAGATTTGGTGGCGGCGGAATTTGGGGTCCACCAGGCAGTAAATTTTGGAAAATATCTGGGACTACCGGCTTTTGTGGGGAGGAATAAGCGTGCGGTGTTTGCTTATGTGGAGGATAAGGTGAGGTAGAGAATAGGCTCCTGGAACAAGAAACTTTTGTCCCGAGCGGGTAAGGAAATATTATTAAAATCGGTAGCGCAGGCTATGCCTACTTTTACGATGAGTGTGTTTCTGTTACCTGACTCGCTATGCAAGAATCTGGAGCGTATGATGAATAGATTCTGGTGGCGTAATGGGAGGGATGGAGGAGGAAAACATTGGCTTGCCTGGGATAAGATGAGTTTACCAAAGAAGTTTGGTGGACTAGGTTTTAAGGATTTGAGAGCCTTCAATATAGCTATGTTAGGCAAGCAGGGGTGGAGGTTCCTGACAGATCCCCAATCTTTGGTGGCAAGGGTGTATAAGGCCAGGTATTATCCAAATACAGATTTTTTGAGTGCCACAGTTGGAAATAACCCGAGTTTCTCCTGGAGGAGTATAATGGCGGCTCAGGGATTAATTTCTCGGAATATTAGGCGGAGAATTGGAAATGGTGACTCCACTTTGGTTTGGGGGGATCCATGGTTACTAAGTGACACTGAACCAAGGATTATAACAGAAAAGCCACCATACCTTGGCGAGGTGAAAGTTTCGGGGTTAATTGACCCAGCATCCTCTACCTGGGACATCCCTTTACTCAATGAATTTTTTAC